TATTTATATCAGGGGTTAATAATGACAATTTGTCATTATTAACCCCTGATATATTCAAAACGAGTGATTCGTTTTCTTGCTGCAGAGAATATCCAATGCAGCTTTTATCAATGAGATGCAAGTCAGTGGAAGAACTAGAAGAGTCTTGAATGGTAACCACGAGTGTCTTTTAAGGCTTCCATCTACAGGCTGCTTTGAAAGACACGCGGTCTTCAAGCTTTTCTTCCACGCGATGGATGGATGGATCTGTCCACGTGTCAGTGGTGACATGTTGTTGCCAGTCGGCATGGCAACAGAGGTTTTATCTTGGCAAAGGTGTGCCAATATGGACTTACCTCACCCTTCACCTCACCAACACACTGTGTGCGTCACCAATGTATATCTGCGTGTGAGTGTGTTCACGGTTTGCTGCACGCACTGCACTGCGCGTTTTGTTCTAACTGCTAAGCGGGATGTCTGCTGTGGACCGTTGCCATCGTAACCTAACACAAGAACGTGTTTGCTGGACCCTCGCGATAACATCTCGATACAGTCTTGATTTTTCTCGATCACGTTCTTATTTTGCTCTTTGCGCCCAATAATCCATAACGCTGTAAGAGTTTCGAATGTGCGTTTTTTGGGAATCAATCATTCAGTCAATGGTCCCAAATTGTGCCAGATGTGATTTCTTGGTTGCCAGTAATATAACAACCCATTGCCAGCTGCTTCCCCACCGGATAAGTCTAATGACAAGCATCATTATTTATCGGTTATTTGCCAGCTTGAGTGCTATTTTTTATTCCGAATTTGATACTATATGTTCTAGGTGCCCCTGTATTTTTATTTCGCTACGTAATTATGCGAGAGAGAGAGAGAGAGAGAGAGAGAGAGAGAGAGAGAGAGAGAGAGAGAGCGAGAGAGAGAGAAAGAGAAGTTTTTAGCGGCCCGTAGCTCGGACTCGATGTTTTTCGTTGCCGCCGGCGACGAATGGACGGACATACGCACACGCTACAAACCAGACACCCGATCGTCCAAAGCAAAATTAAGTGTTGTATCGTTAAGCCTTGGCATTAACTTTTTTCTCGTCGACCCGTGGACAGAATTTGATTCGAGAAGCTACAAAGAAATTCAGTACTATATTTTCGTTTTCGTCGAACTCGCACGACATTTCTGGCGACGGTCCGCGCGGAAAAAAGTTGAATGTTAACGCAGATTTTGTTTTCGACGACGGGTGATATCCAGTATCGGGCCATGGGAAGCGATCGCGTTGGCAATTGCTTTTGCGAATGCGAGCGATCGGTTGCTGGTCCCATTCCGGTCATTACTGTAACCCGTCTAAGCCCTGCACTGCGCACGGCCATGTTTTCACGTCCGTGTTGCCCACCCGCCTCGAATCGGTGAGTATGGTTGGCGATCGTACTCAGAAATAAATATTTTTACCGCAGTAAAATTATATCCCATTTATAGCACAGCTTTTGGTTGTGTAAAAAGTGATTATTTATCCGCTGTAAAAATAATTTATCGGCGGTCAAATTATGTGTAACAAGGCCACTAATATTACCGCGGTCAAGGTATTTCTACCGCGGTCAAAAAATTCTTTTATTTCCGAGTACGATGGCGAACCACAGGCAAGTGATTTCATTGGTGCAAGCTTGTGAACGATGATCACGATGTAAGAAATTCTACGACAGCGCGCGAATGGCCGACGATTCTTCCTAGATGGCACCACTGATCTCCATATACTAACTGGACAGCACATAGTGGCCACTAGGTATATATCTTTCTCTCGCCGTATATATATATATATATATATATATATATATATATATATATATATATATATA